CATCATGATGGCGCTATCTCCTCATGCAAGAAACGCCTTCAACTCACCGATGATGAGCAGAGGCCAATCAAACAGTGATTGACAGCTGTCAGCTACAAACTCTTATTAAAAGACTTTTACTTTCTTACGTTTTCATCATTTACAACTTAGACAGCAATCATGTTTGACCACTTGGACGATAATCCTCAATGGTGTGCTGTGGCATTAGACTATGTGTTAGATGTTGTTGAGTGTAATGCAGATGAGAATGAATACTGCCGAATGCTGAGATTTACCAAACAGTACATTAAAGACGTTGAACCCACACAAGTGGAAGACGATAAAGATATCACTCTTAAACTGCAATCAGACATCATGAAAGCTTTTCTCACTTACACAGAATATTGTGAAACAGTCTACCTCAAAACGTTAAATGAAGATGAGAACTGCAGCAGTTGTGACGAGGATGAAGTGTTTCGACCACCTAAAGAGACTAAACAGGAGGAAGACATTAAGACACCTTACATTCCTGAACCATTTCCAGAACATTTATGTTCCATTCAATTAAACGATTAAATGTATATTTGATGTGACAATAGTAGTGTAGCTAGCCTTACCAGACATTCCCGCAGGGCTTGGGTCCGAGTGGCTCGATCGAGTGAGATAATGTATTCATAGGACGTTGGTACAAGAGGTGAGGGTTAGGGTTAGGGTTAGGGTTAGGGGTTAGGGGTTAGGGTTGGATAGCGTAGGTATAAGAGGGGTTTTTTAGGTTAGCGTTAAAAAATTTGAAAAATAACCGTATAAAATCCAAGATGGCGCCGGAAACAAAGACAACAAAGAAATCCAAGATGGCGGAGGGATTAAGTCAGAGACACAATGAAAATGAGTTTTTCAAATGAAAACATTTATTATTTGACCACGCGTTTCATTCATCTTTACATTGATGTAATAAATGTTCTTTGTAGTGTTAGATTTAAAACGCCCTCTGTTTTTACGACATATTCTAATCAAACAACAACAAACATATGAAACATATGTATGAACTGCGGTTATGAGACGTATATGTGAAC